AAGGGGATTCTGATATATCGGGGCCTATTAACAACGGAGAAATGAACAATTAAGAAAGCTGGCGTTTTAAATTTTAAACTACGTGCAGTGTAACAGCTACGTGAGAGAAATACACCTGATGATGGCCATTTACGGCCGAAACATGTAGTGTAGAAGAAAAGAGACAAAAGAAATACAATAAATTGTTGCACTTAGGACGGAGTTTGTGTCATACACAGGGACAACTTTTATTGTATTTTAACATATCCTTGCTTACTAATGCTGTTAATGTGTTGTGTTTGTAACCTTTAGTATCTACATACACTTTTCCAGTCAATGCATACAACAAGCCCACACACACCTCAAGTGGGCGAATGGCTTCAAATAAGGTTCCTAATTGTTAATTCATTAATTAAGCAACACGCCAAGTAAACGTAGGGGGAGTGGAGATATAGCGCCACGCATTCTATCCTCAGCACCTCAGATCAGAGGTCGACTTCATGCCCTGTGTGCTTTAGCCCCTCGGTGCCCCTTGGATAGGAGGTGGGTGGATTCGGTCTGTATGATGTGGAGAATGGACTGGTATAGAGGGGTGGGGGAAGAGACGCACGCGGTAGCGTAGTTGCTTGAGGCACTGAGCTACAAGCAAGAAGGTCGCGAGTTCAGTTCCTGATGAGGTGGATATCTTTTCAATTGACCTAATCCTTCCAGCCGCATTATGGCCCTGGGGACGACTCAGCCTCTAACATAAATGAGTACCAGGAATGTTCCTAGGGGTAAAGTGCGGCCGACACTTAAGGCTGACAACCTCATCGCCATCTGTGTGCCGATTTTATAGAAAATGTGGGAGCCTTGACGTCACACGACCCTATGGGCTTCACGGCCGGTGGTTCATCGAATAGCTTTACCACTGAGGGGGAGAAAGGTGATGTAGTGAGTTGGGGGAGGGTAAGAGGGCAAGAAAAGGCAAATGTGCATGGATTTATGACTTAATTTGAATCTTGCGCAGGAAACATGTTCTGGTTGTGAAACGTCATTGAGGGTGCCTCCTCAGACACATCATTAAATTGTGCAAAATATGAACGATAATCGCTGGAAGTGACTTGCTGGGGGGGGGGGG